ACACTCAGCCAAAATAGCTTCCGGACCCTCTTCCCCTTTGTCCTTTCTGTCCTCATCATTTTGAGAACCAGCATGGCCTCCTGGAACTCTATTTTGTTTAATTACTCACCTACATTATGCATAAAAGAAGGAAGCTCTAATAAACTGACTCAGCAAATAATAATGTTTTTTATTTAGAACATGCAAAGAAGAAATGCCTTTGAATTATAATACACAAATCATCTTTCTCTATTTAACACTGATAACATATTAATACCTCAACATTAGATAAGTCTCAGCATTATGTGACAGTCAATGCAACTGTTACAGAGCATGGAGAATAGTAGATATATTTGCACAGTGAAACATAGGAAACTCTCCTTAATGGAAGCTGAATGTTCACTAGATCTTGAGGGAAAGGAAAATGTGAGATGACAGGCCAGAAAAGGTATCACAGATAGTGAAAGGTGGATAACGCCCCAGAGGAAAGAGAGCTGCAGGGACAGCACAGCAGCAGCCAGACCATCTGCTCTTCTTTAGACAGGGATGAAGCACAGCTGGTAGACGGGCGGCACAGAGACAAATCCATTGAAAACTGGAGTGGTGTCAAGGTCCTTTAGGTCAACCAGAGATTTCAGATTAAAGTTCTGTAAAATGGAGGTCAGGAATAAAAACAGCTCCATGCGGGCCAGGCCTTCTCCCACACAAATCCGTTTTCCTGAAAATAGAAAACACAGAGATCTGTTACTCCTCATGTGTAACTGTGACAGTGACAAACACTGTCTTTATAACTGGCACAAACAGAATATGCAATAACTGTTCAGTGAATCACAGGAAGGATGAGGAGATAGATGGGTGGATGGGTGCATGCATGAATGAATGGATGGATGGGTGGATGGATAAAGGGATGAATGGATGGATGAAGAGGCAACTGAAAAAATGAATGGACATACTTACTCTTCCCCTAATACCAAATCTTAACAGGCACCCTGTATTCAACAAATATTTATTGAGTACCAGCTACATGCCAAGCACTTTATTAAAATCTTTCTAAAGACTTTAAATGTCTTCATCAATCTTTCTTTAGTAACATACGTTCCTTGTCAAGTGGGTTGAACTGAGAAGGACTTAGAGGAGGAGGCTAACATACTGTATTTCCCTTTGTGTTTCTGGCTTAATACGCAGTCAAAGATTTTTTTTCCCCCTAGGTACTTTCAGGAGCACATGACTAAACATGTCACCTGCTCACTTTAAAATTTTCAATGACTTCCCTGTCTGTCCTATAGAATAAAGTCCCAATGGATTGACCTGGACCCTCACATTCTGTTTCCAGTCTGATGATTCATATCACTCCTTACACTCTTCACATTCCCTACTCTCAACTCTAGGCATAGCCACTCGTCATCAGCCTCTAGCACACTATGAGGTTTCATGTTTTATATCACGCTGCTCCTTTTGGCCAAGATGAACTTTTCTATTACTACAGTCAGGACATAGGTCAAATTTTATCTCCTTTTATACCCGCTTTCTCATCTCCTTGAGCAAGAAAACGTTGCTTTCTCTGGATTTCCTCAACATTATATTTATGCTTCCATTGAAAAATGTGCTATGATCTGTATATGGCTTCTCCCAATTTTGTATGTTGAAACATAATCCCCAATGCAATATTACTAAAGAGATGAGGCCTTGTAGGAAGTGAATAAGTCTGGAGGGCTCTGTCCTTGCTAAAATAATAACATCAAGAGATACAAGGGAGCCATTTCTCCCCTTTTGCCTTTTTTGCCCTTCTGCCATATAAGGATACAGAGGGGGCATTATCTATCAGGAACAGGCCCTCACCAGGCACTGAACTTGCTGACACCTCGATTTTGGAACTCCCAGCCTTCAGAGCTGTGAGAAATAAATTTCCATTATTTATCAATTACCTAGTCTTGGATATTTTGTTATGGCAGAAAAAGCAGACAGCATGGGTCATCTAGAATAATAATCACTTATTTATTTATTTATTTATTTATTTATTTATTTATTTACTTATGTGTGATATGGTTAGGCTCTGTGTCCTTACCCAAATCTCATGTCAAATTGTAATTCCCAATGTTGGGGCAGATACCTGGTGAGAGGTGATAGAATCATGGGGGATAATTTCCCCCTTGCTGTTCTCATGATAATGAGTGAGTTCTCATGAGATCTGGTTTTTTAAAGGCATGTAGCCTTTCCTCTTTGCTCTCTCTCTCCTGCTCTGCCATGGAAAGATGTGCTTGCTTCTGCTCTGCCTCCCATCATGATTGCAAGTTTCCTGAGGTCTCCCAGCCATGCTTCCTGTACAGCCTGTGGCACTGTGAGTGAATTAAACCTCTTTTCTTCATAAATTACCCAGTCTCAGGTAGTTCTTCATAGCAATGTAAGAATGGACTAATACATGTGCTAAAGGTGAAT